TATTTTATTATTGTTGCGTTTTGCATTTGTTTTATTATTCAAGTGATTTTATATTTATTGTCTCCTAATATTTAAATATATACTTTTGTTTGTTTTTTGCTTTATTTGTTTATTTTATTAAGGTGTCCCTCCAATGACTAGTTTTTAACTATACGAGTAACGCCAAACCTAATTTTGAAAATTGTCTGTAATTTTTGTAATTTTATGGTTAAATAAATAGATAAAGAAATAAACTATTGTCTTCTTCATATTAAGTACTCAATTTAATAAGCTACACCAAGGAGTTTATAAAATTTTTGTTAACTAATTAACATTAGCAGTTTGTTTTTTTAATTAACTGAAAATCTGTGTGTGCGAAAGTTATTATCAACTATTAACATTAGTTGGTAATTTGAACGTTAATTATTTCCATTTAAAAAATGCATTGATTTGGGTTAGAACTATTGTTTTAAAGGGATCCCAAAGTGCTGAGACAAGTTGTGTTCATATTAAAGAGAATGATTTAAAACAATGTTTGGGCAGAATTTTTTTAAGTAAAACAAAATAATAAAGGCATACCAAGAAAAACAAACTTTGTTGTTTTACTGGAAGCTTGCCGTCTCCATGTTAAACAGCTCTTCAAAGTCTTTAAAATATATGCCGCAATCTACAGACTTTATATGTTGAACTCCAAAGAGTTTTTGTTAAATGACGTTATTGTAAAAAAAAAACTTTAAATCAATATTATGCTTTTGTTTTATTTGTCAAGACCAAGACTAAGGCCTTAGTCTTGATCTTGAAACTGTTGGTCTTGGCCTTGAAAACTTTGGCTTTGGCCTTGATTGTTTTAGCCTTAGCCTTCAAGAAAAGTACATAAAATTGAAGAATTAAAAGTTTTTATTCTTTATTTTTATGTATTTTTGTTTTCGGCTTTCATACATATCTGCAAGTATGTTTTCATATTGACTTCGTAGAACTTTGTGCATAACCCTGGTTTATTTTTATAACATGTGGTTTATTGTCACAGCAATTGTTACCTACAGTTTTGTTAATAATTGGCTAATTATAAAAAAATGGTATGAAAGTGTTGACTGTTCCATTAGATTTTGTAAAGAAACTTTAGTTACTCTTCATAGCAAAGTAAAAGAGGCTAAGGAAATTGGTCAACATGATGTGTGTTCATTGATGTTAGATGAATTGGCCATTTAAAAAAAATTGAATGGACAGGTCATAAATTTTCTGGTAATATTGATTTTGGCGCTGATATCAATAATGATAGTTTACCCAAAACAAAAGAAGCTTTAGTTTTTATGGTCAACTGTGTAAATGAACGTTGGAAATTTCATGTTGTATATTTTTTAATTGATGGTTTAGGTGGTTGTGAAAAAGCTAATACTGTTAAAAGTTGTCTGCAATTTATTTATGAAAGTGGTGCAGTAATTATAAAATTATTATTGCTAAATATTTAAAATTAAGATTGCACCACAAACCTCAATCAACATTTTACGACATAATAAACATAAAAAACATAATAAATGTGTATTAACAAAGCAAATTTTATTTTTCGAATGAATAAAAAGTTTTAATATATTAATGTAATGGATAATAAAACACATAAAATTGTATTAACTGTTACGTTTTCAATTCTAAGAAATCTAAGAATGCATTAAAATAATAATTGATACAAATAAATTTAACAATATTTTTAAAAATAATAATAATAATAATAATAAGGTTTATTACAAAATTTTACATTTAACGAAAAGTTTTCTGTTTTACATGCAAAGTGCTTAAAACTATTGTTTTTATAAATAGCAACTAAAACATTAAATCCAAAAGAAAAACTCATTTAATGGACAAAAAGAATGTTTTTCTTCAAAAGACATTTGTATTACTTAGCTAAATACTGCTAAACTTACACAAATTAAATTTTAAAGTGTTAATGCTGCTTTTTTAAGAGCTAAATTTTAAGAATTTTTTTTCAAGGATTTTTCAGGATTTTTTAACTTTATCAAGTGACAACTTTTTACAACAACACAATATGGCCCTTATTTGTTCTTGATTATCATAATCATTATGTAGAAAATTAAACCTTAAGAACAAATAAATTATATATGTCTAGAGTAAAAATTTATGTACAAAACAAGATAAATTGTTAAGCATACTCGAAAGCTGCTACCAAAAAAATCAAAATTAGAAAAAATCAAAAAGCGATATCAGTGGCTTGTGGTAGTGTTAAATAATACAAAATCATTTTTTCAACATAATCTTAATAAGGATAATAATCATTTAATAACAATAAATATAACACAAAAAAAACTTATAGCAATAGACGAACTTAAAATATCTGAAATATTTTATTCATATTTTTAATGCAAACTTCGCGAAATTTAGAAAACTAAATAACTAAAGAAATTAAACAGTAATTTATGATGAAAAAAAAACTATAATAAAATCTATAATAAAAAAAATTTCTATAATTTGATTAAAAAAAAAAAGAACTTTTAGATTTCTTAATGAAATTCTACAATGATGTCATTTACTAAAACTCTTTGGAATTAGACGCTCTTGAATAAATTATAAAGTCTATAGATTGTGGTGTATATTTTAAAGACTTTGAGGAACTGGCTAACATGGAGACAGCAAGCTTCAAGTAAAAAAACAAAGTTTGTTTTCCTTGGTATACCTTTATTATTTTGTTTTACTTAAAAAAATTCTGCTAAAACATTTTTTTTTTATCATTCTGTTTAATATGAACACAACATTTCTTGGCACTTTAGGATCTCTTTAAAAAGAATACCAATTCATTAATTTTCAAGCATTAAGTTATTTTTGTATATATAAAATTTAGTCATGAAGAACTATTACTGGTAGGGTGAACATTGTCCTGGTTTTACGCAAAGAGTGCAGCGCCAAACTAATTAAAAATAGTTTAGCGCTGCGCTCTCTCACAGAAAAACCGAGATAATGGTCACCCTAATTACTGGACATTTCCAAAAAATCTCGCATGGAAACTCATATATGTTTTGTCTATTAATTTCATATAAATAAAACTTTCAATCTATATAAATATTTTGTAAAGAAAAAAGGTATCTATTTGTAATGGTTTCAAAGATAAAATTAAGTTTGAACAGAAAAATGCAAACTTTAGTTTAATTTTATTTATTTATTTATTTGAATTTTCATGCTATATTTTTTTATACAATGTTTTTATATCCGAAGATATTGTTGGCTAAGCATAAGAACAGCCACAAAAAGTCATTAAGACTAATCCAAAGTAGTGTCCGTTATTGACCAACATTTTTGCCTACTGAAGTACTACTCAAGCAGTTGGTGGTGGCAGGATTCAACAATTCGGATTTTAATTTTTCGTTTGACGCCAAACCAGTTGAGCTATCCCACCATAATAATAGTATTTAATAAATAGTAGTTTAATTAATAGTAGTTTTCTGATTACTCTCATATCTTAAAATTAACATACCATGATGGTGTGTTCATATATTATTAATTTATTCTTTTTTTCAAATTTGTTTGTTTTACATGTAAATTATAATCATTCCTGTCAATATCTTCAATCAGATTTCATATTTGGGCATATGATTGTTTATAGCAAGCTCTATAATTATTTACAAAAGAATAATTGATTTTGTTATCCATGTAAAACTATAATGAGGAATCATGGTATAAATACTCTAATACAAGAAGTTTTAAATGCAATGTCCCTAATGAGTAAAGTACACTTGTACACAAAAAGCATGTCTAAAATAAAAATAAAGTTATATTTATAAGGAACATACTGCTTGAACAAATAGCAATTAGTTTTAATAGACATTATTTAAATACCTAATTATCTACAAACTTTTGTTGATTCTTTATTAATTATGTACCAAAAATGTTTGTGAAAGTAGATCATAACTAAATACAATTATCTTTAGTTATATAAATTAACAAGGATTTTATTGGACATTATTATGTATATTGGTCATTTTATTCCTTTTTTTGATGAGTTTACTTTTTTATTATAATAAAACAATCAATAAGAAAAATAATTAAAAAAGTTTACATAATATTATTTAAATTAATGACATAACTATTATGTAATGAAAATAAAAATGTAAATGACATGACTATTATAACAAGTAACAAATTTATAAATTTACAAAATAATGAACAATATTTTGTAACAACTTTGTAAAATTTCAACTGACATCACACACATACTTTTTTTTTTAAATCAACTAACTCTAAACAATTATAATTGTTTTTAGTTCAATATCAAAATGCATTTGCTAACTTATTTTTTTTTACTTCTTTAGAAAAATTAAAAAAACAAAACATCAATAACTCCTAAACAAAACATAAGGCCAAAACAATATTGGCTCATAAAGTAAATATACATCTAATTTTTAAGATAATCAAAACCAAAAGCTTTTTCTATCAGTCAGAAATGCTTTTTTTTATTGTCATTAGTTAGTACATTTGATGGATATAATAAAGTTTATTCTATTATTTTAAGAGATACAAGACTATAAATTCAGATTTAGCAGGTTTTAATTTGGTATCAAATTTTAGCCTAGCAACATTACTACAAGCACCTTATAAGGGTAATAGTAAATGGACTCATTTCCGGCACTTTTTCCCCCTCATTTTTCAGTCAAAGTCTAACAAACTTCAGGTTGCAGTAAAACTTAAGGGGATAATTTTTTTTCAATGCCAAAAACTCTCATTTCTTAAAATTATCTTTTTCAAGCAACAAAAAAAGCTGCCCTGGTAATTGATGTTATTGTAAAAACATTTGCAGATCTGATCAACAGTTTAACTCATGACATTGAAAAACCCAACATCATGATTTAAATCATCTAAAATTTTATTTCCTTACAAAAGCAAAAATGGAACAAACTGCAGTTTATAGTAATCAAAAAGCTACTTACTTTATATCTGTGAAAACAAAAGGCACAGTTTATTAATCCTGTTTTAATCTTTAAACAAATGCATTTAGTAAAAACAAGAGAATAACAAACCTGAACTTTTTTCCTTAGAAACAGAATTTGGAGTTTGTTTTTGTTCCAATCCAGCTTTTCCATTATTAGAATGATTTCCATTATTAGGTGTTAAAGATGAGTTTATACTAAAATCAATACCAACTTGATCATGACTCGCATTTAAATAATTCAAACTTTTTAATGTAAAATCATTTAATTTAGCATTAATAACGTTTTCCTCTGGTTCTTTAACTTTGTATTTCTGAATAAGATGATTTAAAACTGTATTAAAATCGCTCTCATTATAATCTGTTTTAAAAACAACTGCTACAACTCCTTTATCTTTTCTCATTAAGATTACTCTCTTTTTTGTGTGCTCTGTAAACCTAGCTTTTTTTAAAGCCTGAATTTTATTTCCATGTGCTTTTTTAAATATTTTTTGTGTTTTAGCACTATTGTTTGCAATTCTGCTTGAAAAATTTTCGATTATTGGAATCTCAATAGTTTTATGATCTAATGCATATTTTTCCAAGACAACTTTACAATTTTTTAACATTGTTTTTAACTTTTTTACAAATAAAAAAAAAAATCATAAAAATTAAATTGACGAGAATTAGTGAATAAATTTGTATTCAGGATAAGTTACTTATAAATGCAGAAAATTCACTGTATTTTACATAAAACACACAAAGTGACGGGGATCCAGGAATTTTTGGTCGTGCGGAGGGGGAAGAGGAGGAACCATTATATTTTGTATCACATTTGCGTCTTCTATAAAAAAGTGAGGGAAGGGGGATGCATACCCTATAACCTCCACCCCTCTCCTCCTCCTATTGGATCCGTCACTGAGCATACAGATCAGCGATTCCCAACTTTTCCAATAGATTCCGCATCTGTAAAAAATTAGATCCTACTAAAACGAAAATGTAGTTTCAAAATATTGTCTTTAGAAGTATTTCTTTGAGTCCGAAGGAAAGGTGAAACAAAAACAGAAGTTTAACTTAATTTTTATTTAGGACGTAGGAAAGATATCTTATTTTACATCCTTGCACGTTAGGGTGTGTCGATTTTTATGTCTTTTTAATTTCAAAAACGGCAAGGTTACTTTTTGTGAAGAATTTTATGGAGATTCTAAATCTAAAAAAAATTATAAACTAAAAAAAAAGGGCTTTTGTGAAGGTTGCTTAAGAAAAATTAGTCAATTTTTTCATAATTTAGACAAGGAATATTATCGTAGGGTGCGCTTTTTTTTCTAAAACTAATAATAAGTCAAACACTTTTTATTATATACTAATATATTTATAATAAATATTATATAATACTGATATCTTTATTAAAATTTACATATAATTAATAGTTAATAGTTTATAAGTTTTACTTAAAATTTGTGAGTTCAACTAAGTTATACTTCGTATTAAATAAAGAAAAAAAATAACACACTTTACCGTAACATTCTTTAACCAAAATATAAAAAAAGTGCATGATTTTTCTAAAAATACCCTTCACAAAAACTCCTTTTCTTTACTTAATTTTATGACTATTTGAACCAAATAATCAATTTTCATAAAATTCAACATAACAATTATTGAGTTAATCAAAAGTTTTAGAATTTTTTTTTTTAATTATAGTTTTGCCCTGTTAATTAGTCACATTTTAGTCATTTTTCCGTTCAAAACAACGCTGACCCACTTAGCAAAACATTTTTTTTTTTAATTTTTTTTTTCAGATTCAGAATCTCCATAAAATTCTTCACCAAAAGTAACCTTGCCGTTTTTGAAATTGAAAAAACATAAAAAAAAAAATCGATACACCTTATTGCATGTACCAAATACACACAATAAGTCTTAAAATATAGTCTTAAAAGTCTTAAAAGACAATAGTAAATGTATTAAAATACTAAATACATTATTTATATATCTATTACAAAAATAAATGACACTACAATTTAAAATATAGCAAAAATTGCAATACATTAAGATTAAATATATTATATTAAAATGACTTATGGAATATTTTAGTAAATTGCAATTTTCAAAAATTTGTAGTTTTCTATTATTTATACAATCTACATTTTAGCTTATAATTTGGTTTTGCATTATCCTATATAAATATTCAAAATTAAATTATTACCTAAACATAGTACGTCGATTGTTTGTTCTTTTTTTTTTTTAATGGAGTGTTTTAATGAAGTCAATGACAAATTGAAAGAATCAATCAATATTAAATTAGATTTATATTTTTAGTTTTCCGATTGAGTGAATTAAGTTAAAATAGAAATTAGGGGTGTATACGCAGGCACGCCGGAAAGGGTTAGGAATTGCTACTCCTGGCCTTTTGACTGGGGTAGCATGAATGTGCCCTTTTTAGGAAATAGGTATGGTAAATTTTTGTGCTTTAAAAGCATTTCATTATCCAATATTTCATTATCAGTATTTTATTATCAATATCTACCAAATAGAACTGGTAATAGGTGGGATAGGTAGTAATAGATTATTTATTTTTTCAAATCTTTTAAAGAGAAAACAGTTTAAAATTGATCTACACAAAACTTTAAAAAATGTTTTATTGAAGAAAAAAAACGGCCCAGAATCAATAAGCAGCAGTGGCGCAACTCAGAATTTTTTGTAAATCGCAATCACTTTTAGAACTAATATGTTTCCAAAAATTAATCCGAAATTAAATAAAATATGTTATATTAAATGTTACGTTACAACTTTTTGTTATTATGCTTTAACTTTTTATATATATTCTAAATGTTTTTTAGTTGATGTTTTGCAAAAAAACAATAGTTTGTGTTTTTATTTTCGAGAAAAAGAGAAAAAAAAGGTACACATTGTAAATCCAATATATAGTTATAAAACAAATATAGCAATAGTTTTTTCAGTTAGTATATTTATTTTCGATGATTATTTTCGAGTGGTGATTATTTTCGACGATTATTTGCGAACAGATATATATCTCTTAGTTTATTTCTTAATCGCAATCTTAACTTAATTGTTACAGTTTTATCCAATGAACAGTCATACTAAAGGCTGAATGACTTTAAAAGAAAAAAATTAAAGAATTATCAAAACCTTATTAGATCAAAATTACTACTTTGTTGAAAAAAAACAACAAATAAACCAGCTGAGCCAGAGAACCCTCATGGTGAACTTTTTTTTTTAATTTTGTTATTTAGATGCCCCAAGACGACCTAACGGTCTTGTCATAGAGCACCGCCTCTTTCCTTACCTTGACGCGAAAATATATCCAGAGTTCGTTTCGAACATGGATCTCCTGCTTCTAAAGCATACGCTCTAACCACTGCGCCACGGCTGCAAGAATCAGGATAAAGTTGACATAGGCAGTCAAAAAATAGACAATACAAAAAAACAGGAGTCCAATGCAAAAGATTGTAAAATTTTAACGGAAAATCTTGTTAGAAAAACGGAGGATTTCAGAAAAACTGATTAACAAAAAAGCAGTAATGGAAAACTTGGATTAAAGCTTGGTTTAATGAGTATAGTTGGTTATTTTATTATCGATCACTGAAAGCTGTCTTTTGTGAAACCTGTGAAAAATATGATTCGTGTTCTGATGGAGTGTTTAAACATGGAATCGGGAAAGGATTAAGAATAAAGAGCAAATCTTCAACAGCACTAAAGATCACGATGACTCCAGTGTTCATAAGGCTGCAAGTGCTCAAATAATTGAGAAATAAATTATAAAGTTTAAAACAATTAATGCTCAAATGGACCAAATGTAAATAAACTTGCTAGCTTATTTCAGAACATTGAAAACATTGCTTCAACAGAGTGTAGCTATAAGAAGTGATAATAATGAAAAAGATTATAGTTACCAGTTTAATTTGGATAAGAGTAAAAGTGACAAGGCAATAAAAGTGTTAATGATTGAAAAACATTATGTTTTATCTTATGACATCTTGCAAAAGCAAGAACAACATCTCACTTCAGAAGCACAAAGGCAGATTGTTGAACTGATCAAAGGTAAATATTTCTATTCGGTACTTGCAGATGAATCCTCAGATATTACTAAGAAAGAACAAAGGTCGTTTAATATAAGAACTTGCAGTGACAACTATGAAGTAAATGAAAATTTTATCAGAGTATATGAATTCGTCAAGGGCCTTTCTTCAGATGCCTTGGTGACATACATATTGTACATGTATATTGAAGATATCCTTTTGAGGTGCAACTTGGAACATACAAAGGTTGCCGGTATTGGCTTTGATGGAGCTTCAGTTATGAAATGCTTGGCAGCAAAACTGAAAAGTATTATTAGACAGCAAGCACAATATTTTTATTTCATGGCACATTGCAGCGAGCTGATTGTTAAGCATACAAATGCAATATTATTACTACTGTCAGATTCTCTCAGCATTGTCCAGTCAATTTATGCAATCGTTGAGCATAACCAAAGTGTGTTGCCTTTTTCGAACAAATCCAGAAGGATATATTGCATTAGTCTGAATTAGATGAAGACAGAATATTGCGAATGAAGTCTATGTCAATGACTCGATGGACAACACGAACAAAAGCAGTACAGTCTTGAGAGTGACAAGACTTTTGCTGCAGAAACAAAAACACAATTAAAGGTTTATTATCTCAGCTTTTATCAGTAAAAACACCTTTTGAACTGCAAAGCACTTTTGAATTTTCAAAATCAATAGTTGGCTCAATTCATCTAAATCCGACTTACTCATAACAAGATTAAGCTACGAAGTTTAAATGCAGTAAATCTTTTCAAAAAGGAAAATTAGAAAGCATATTACAAGAAAAAAATACCAAAAAGGTTGCTTGATGGAGAAATTAAGGCAATTGGACGAAAATTTTTGGCTAAAAATTTGCTCAAACTAATAAAGAAAAAAAAATTATACATTTTAGAAAAAGATGAAACTTACTGTGAAAAAGATCACTCGATACTTCCAGGTAATCAATACTATTATCAATCAAAACGTTATAAATCTTCTAACAAATTTAAGTATTCGAGTTAAAAAATTTGTTCCCAAGTTTCTTGTATGGTAGGTTATTTGCAGTAATGGTTTAAAATTTTTTTAAAAACACAAGTAATGCGTAGTAGTAACACAAGGGCGGATCCAGCATTTTTTGGTTTTTGAGCCAACTTCTAGACATGGAACAAACTCCAAACATTTACATGTTTATACTTATGTCAAATAAGAATGTTTAGCAAAAAATTGCGACGATTGGAGCCTGCGAACAAAAAAGCCCCAAAAAATTTTTCTTTTATGAAACTTAAAATTTATCGATAAATATAAGTCTAATTAAGAATATAAAAAATGTTTTATCAACTTGTTACCCCTCACGTTTGAGGTGGGCTTTTTTTGTTCCAGCTCCAAACATCGCAATTTTTTGCAAAGCATCCCTTCGGACATTTGTTTTTGAAAGTTACGTTCTAAATGTCTTTTAAACGTTTTTTAAACATCTTTTAAACGTTCTTTACGTAAGAATGTTTAGAAGACGTTTAAAAGACATTTAGAACGTAACTTTTAAAAACAAATGCCCGAAGGGTTCCTTATTTGACATAAGTATAAACATATAAATGTTTGGAGTTTGCTCCACGTCTGAAAGTTAATTCAAAGACCAAAAAACGCTGGATCAGCCTCTGTAGTGACAAGATCAGCAAGAGATGCACTAGTAAAGGTGCAGTCAAAATCATTTGAAGTTAAAGTAGTATCTGATAAAAATACAGCAGAAGCAATAGTTGCATGGCTAGTAAGATAATTCATATTTTTAATTTTTTTGTTTAGCCGTACAAATATTTACAAGTTCCGTGTTTAAAAGAAAAAAAAAAAAATTAAACTTTCGTCATTAAAATCTATAAATGCTGTAAATCTTTGAAAATACTTTTTTATAATATAACTGACTAGATAATTTTCAAATATAATATTTTTTATAGATAATTATAGTTTTAAAAATAATTCTTTGATTGTTTATTATTTAAAAGTAACAGTTTCAGTTTTTGTTTGAAATGTACAAGAGTTGTGTTTTAATATGATTACTAATTATTATAGATATATAAATATGTATTCATATCACTTAAGTAAATCATTGGTTACTATAATTATAAAAAACTTTTTTAAAACTTAGTTTAAAACTATGAAATGCATAAAAAATATTTAAATAGCTTCAAATAATGCGAATACAAACGTTTTTAGAACAACCCCATCGTCGCACTCTTATGCAAACTGATATATATATTTTTTCAATTTAGTCCTTACGGTTCAATTTAGTCCTTTCTACTTTAGTCCTTACGGTCTTAACACAGAGCACCGCGGAAGAGCATTTATTAGGAAGTTCACACCTCCTTCCTAAACGATGTCTTTAATCTTGCCCAAAGATGGAGTTCGAAACACGTATCCATAGTTTTTAAGGCAAGTGCGCTACCACTGCGCCACGACTGCTTGATATTAATTTGTTTAATAATATAAAACTTTAAACATAAAATTCTTAAAAGGTTTTTTCAAGCTTAAAAACAACTAGAAATAAACTACATAACAAAGAAACAAAAACGGAGAATAAAAATTAAAAAAAAAATCGCAAACATGAGTTAAATACGATGTTTTAATGACTTCTACTTATATATAGAAACGAAATATTTTTTTATAAATATTCAAAAAACGAAAATGTTAAAACTATTTTCCAATTGTTTATAAATATATTTAATTAGAGGCGTGCCAAATACAAAAACTGAAGGGCATTTCCCACCCCCTCCCCAAGTCCCATTTTTGAAATAGCTTAAATTGTGAAATTTTTTATAACCTGTTATATATAAAATTGTTTTTACTTTTTAATACTGGATTTTTAACTGGATAAATGACAACTTTTTCCCTATTAAAAAAAAATAAAACTTTAAAATACTTTAATCACGTTAAGAAAACTTAGCCGCACATATCTTATTTTCAGATATAAATACATTTTTTTTTAACAGAAGTTAATTTTATCAAAGCATGAAGACTGAACCAAAATCACCTTAAAAGTCTTTTGGAAAAGATGAATACTTTTTACTATATAGAGGTTTTCAAAAATTACGTCACGCAATTTTTGACCGTTTTTAACCCCCTCCACCCCTAATTCCTACTATGCTTGTGCCTAATTTAGTCACAAGAATAATAGGACCTTAGGTAATATTTAACAGTCATTAAAGCTTTTTGACAGAAAGTCTTTATGTCTTTAAAAAGGGTTTTAATAACAATTTTGTTAAAAAATTTCAATTTAGGAATTTCAAAAGAATTCTTATTAAAGACTTAACCAATCCTAATCTTTAATGTGTAAAAATGTCTGTATATTGTGGCTCACTTGTAAAAAGTTTAAATGCAGCCTGAGGGGAAAAAGAGGTTGAATACCGCTGTGTTAATTAACTTTTAAAACCTCGCAAAAGACATAAGAAAATACATAATTTACATTATGTACTTTCTTATGTCTTTGAAAATACATAATGTAAATATTGTATTTTCAAAGACATAAGAAAATACATAATGTAAATTATGTATTTTCTTATGTCTTTTACATTGTTATTGTAATTGTTTTTTTGCCAATTTGTTTCAACCACATTTTAAAATTTTTCATTTTATATATAACTAATAAAATTATTACATTAAATATTAGTTTATATTACTAATTTTTATCGGTAACTAGTAAAAATATTAGTAATAACTAACTTTTTTTCTAATTATTTGAAAATATCGCAAAAAGCTTAAAAACATAACGACAAAAAAATCTCATAACAATTTTTAACAATGTTACCATTCGAACTCACAGGAGGCTTTCCAATAACAAAAAACCTCAAATCCAATTACAAATGAATAATCATAAAATTAATGATTCTCACATACTCACATTCAGGACAGGATTGAAAAGTCTGTTTTTTAAAAAAAATGTCCTATGTAAACTAAGTTTGAAATTAAAATAAAGTGAAACTAAAAGTGTTCAGATGACAAAAAATTTAGAATTTGTTATTAGTACATAATTTATTATGTACTACCTATAAATAAATTAGTACATAATTTATTATGTACTACCTATAAATATCTATTTAATTTTGAGTAAAGATATTGTTAGTAACTAACAATATCTTTACTCAAAATTAAATAGATATTTATAGGTAGCGCATAATAAATTATCGCTCCCTTCTAAACGTTTTTAGCTTTTTTCGAACTTCCAATTTAGTTAACTAAGGTCAAGCTTTTTGAAAAAAAGACTTTAATCCTGCCAACACGTACGTAAAGTAAGTTACATATTCGTATTGTACACGTACGTAACGTAAGTTACATACTCGCATTATACACGTACTCGTAAGTTACATACTCTCATTGTATAAGTACGTAAACGTTACGTACGTATAAGTTATGTACACAAATTGTACAAGTATGTAACGTAAGCTACATACTCACATTGTATAAGTAAGTATCGTAGATTTGCAATGTAAACTCGTACATTCCTACACATTTACAAATTTACAATTTCAATGACAAACGAAAAAAGTAAAACGTATATACAATATGAAATAAATTTTGATAATTTAACCAAATTATCATTATAACAAATTTATAAAACGTTCATTACACAACATTATTCGATAGCAACTCGATTACTATCGACTGCATATTCGCACTGTGTAACCATATTATTCCAGAGAATAAATTGTTTCGACAGAGTATTTATCTAGATTAGCGAATTAAAAAAAATAACTAAATGAACAAATACATTTTTTATAAATCGAGTGGACACGGAAAAATCCAGTCAATTTAAAACTACAATTTCTCGAAAACCATGAAACACTTTATTTCAAACTTTTTTAATTTAACTTTATAATCTATATTTGCGTTGGTAAATTTGGTTTACAAATTAAAAGGTTTGCGAAACATCGCAAAAACGATTTGAAGTGCAAAAAGTTTTTAAAATTTTTCAACAAAAGTTGATCGATCGACTTCATGTCGACTCATCGCTAAACACACAAATGTACCAAACTCTACATAGATACGAATAAGTTTAAGATTACTCAAATATCGAAAGAAAAACTGGAAGTGGAGGAAAAAAATGCTTTCCGAAAATCTACAGGTAAAGCTTCAGTTCAGAAGTAAGAAATCCGAACTAGTCATAGAAGAATCAAGCTAAAAAACTTAAGACTTTACATACTTATGTCTAAAAAGTGATACTTTTTACAAGAACTTGATAAAAATAATGTCAGATAAAAATTATGCGCTTAATCAAAGACGACGAAACATATAGCAAAGAAGATTTTTCACAACTTCCTGTTTAACAATATTACTGAAAACAAAGATTAACCTGTCGATGATGAAATTAAATATATTCAAATTTGCATCTAAGTTCTTTGTGTGGCAAACAATTTGCAGCCTTAGCATGATGTCTTCTTATTTCGCCACTAAGAAGACCTTGAACCGCAATTTCTATATACAATTAAACTATATTTCCAAGAAAGATTTTTGCCATTAATAAAAAAGCATTAATGTCGTTTCGTCACTAAGAAGACCTTGAGCGTCGATTTCTAAATTAAAGAATATCTCAAAAAAAGATTTTTGCCTTTTATAAAAAAGCATAAATGTCGATGTCACTTTTGGCATGATCTAGCTGCTTCTAACTCATTAAAGAAGGTTCTCTATCGATACAAAAATATGGAAATTGCTCTTAAAGATGCGAATCCGTTATTTACCTAAAACAGGTGGAGTGGCATTAAATGAAAAAGATTTTCAAAAAAGTGGGTTTATGCAACTAACTAAGAGGCAAAAGAAAAAATCCGCGAAATGACCCGTTTAAAAATTCTCTAAAATATCTTTAGCAAAGCAACCTATACCAAATATAAAAAAGCAACCCATTTAACTTAATCCTTTAAAAGTTTAAACCCTGATTTAATCAGTTTTTTAAAAGGGCGAATTAGCTCAAAACGTTTCGCGCAATTCCACAAATTTAAAGAACACTGATTTAACTATTGTACATATATTTAATCTAAATAGTTAGAAATAAAAAACTTTAATTGTTTTAAAGAAATCATAATTTAAAGTTGACCGAATATTTTTGTTAGTATTTATGAGAGTAATTCAAACATTTTGTACTCCATTAATTTTTTTTTAATAAATTGTAATTTTAACAGACATCAAAGGCGCAACAAATAACGCTATTAACTAAAATAGAGCATCATGGAATCAAGCAAATATTTTTATTCACAACTATAATTTACTAAATTGTGGATAAAAAATTTAAAATTTACTTTGACCGCTGCTAAGTTAAGCTGACTGCTTCTAAGTTAAGCTGACTGCTGCTAAGTTAAGCTGACTGCTGCTAAGTTAAGCTGACTGCTGCTAAGTTAAGCTGACTGCTGCTAAGTTAAGCTGACTGCTGCTAAGTTAAAAATAATTGTGGATATTATCATACACGTCATCGGTTTTACGATATCACTTTAGGAACCGCGATGCCTCAAACAAAACTTTTAATATAGGCTAAATAACACGGAGATAAAATTTTTAAAAAGATACAATTGTATTGTAGCTGACTAACAGTTGCTCTAATCTTGCACAAAAATCTTTCAACTCCGCCTAAATTGTAAACAAAAACAACAACATTTTTTTATTGGTAACAAAATAATGCAAAGTCTCCACTATTCCAAAAACATTAAAATTTAACTTAAACATTTTTTATAACGAACAAATTTCTTAGTTATCTTTATCGAAAATTTTTACAAAAAATAATTAAAAAAGAAATTACCAATAACAATATATATATATATATATATATATATATATATATATATATATATATATATATATATATATATATATATATATATATATATATATATATATATATATATATAAAATATATTAAGAGAAATTTATTGATAATTTATTTCGATTAAATAACTTAGTTACCAGGACCGTGAGCATTTAAATATTGAAATTTAAAAAAAAAATTATAAATTGATTTAAATAAATTTAATAAAATTTTTTTATTAAAATTCTTTATTTAATAAAAAATAAAGTAATATTGGTGATATTTCTATTACATCTGCGTTGTCAAAACACAAAATTAGTACATGTTATTTTAGAGTATTTAGAGATACTTTAGAGAAGAAAAACCATTGCATGAAATAAATTTTTTATAGCATGTCATCTCAGTTATACTTTGAAAATAACAGATTTAAAAAAAAATCTTCACGAAATATATTTTTTGCTGCACTATAACTAATAAATGACAAAATTTGCAATGTGCTGTCTAGTATTTATTTGAGCTATATAATTCCTCAATCAAGTTTCCGTTGATTGCTCGTCTCCTTAAGCTCCCATTCAGATTTTGTTTTAATTTAGATGCTTTAGTACTTAATTTTGCATAGCAACAACCTATTTTTACATTAACGCTATTTTAACAGTTTTTTATTTGTGCTAAGTACACAATATTGGGCGTGTGTATGAAATTCACACTTCTTATAAGGGGAAATATTTCTGGTTGCTATGGATAACTTACTTTGCATAGTATAGCAACAACATATTTTCGATAGTTGTTAGTAATTTAATAACTAACAGTAACAGTAATTTAATTTTAATTACTAACACTTATAGTAACTTGAATACTAACAAGAATTAGTAGTCTACGCGGCATATATAATATAATATTAAACTGTTAAATACAAAATATTTGTTATTAGAATTATTTAGATATGGTTTTATTAAATTTAGACACTCATAATTTTCTCCAAAAAAACAATCTTGTTGTTTCAAAACAGAATATTACAAGATATACTAAAACTTATTCAATCAAATATTGCTGAATTTGAAGATGTTGATTTTAAGCATGCTGTTCAATGATTTGTTTACTTGTATAAAAAAAAAAGTGGAAATCTTCAAACTATACTGTCAAAAATTATGAAAAGAAGTTTGTGAATTGGCTTAATGAATATTTAATTTTCAGAAAAAAAGACAATTAACCAACTGCAAGTAGACATGGTTGAAAACACTTACGTGTAAGGCTGGTTTTGATGGTCCTACTGACCAAAGCATTTATAAACAAGTTTTGTCAGAACCTGACATAAATAGAGATTTTAAACGTGAAGAATCGTTATTTACTACTTGTCTAGCCCCATCGGATTTAACTGGATTTAACAACAGCAATGAAAAGGTGCTTATTTATAAAAATATAAAGTCATCATCTACAACCTAACAGAATCCAATGATTCTGTTAGGCGGTGGATGATGACTTTTGATTTTTATGAAAATAATTTTAAGAAAATCAGTACATTAAAAGTGAGATAGAAAGCTTGAGTATGATTTTATTAGATGTTTGTGGATCTTCTATTGAAGTGAAATGTGTGTTAATGAACTTACAATGATTGATGGGAAAGTTCAAACAATATTATCTGAAAAAACTAGCTCATACCAATGCTGTTCAGTGTGTGGTGTCTCTCCTAAAATATGATATCTGTAATTTATACTTAGATTATACTCAGAGAATTCAAATATGATCTTTCCAGTTTCCATGATTTCCATGATTTCCAGATTCGATTTTTTGGGATGATTTTGCACATTGCATTTAAAAAAGAAACAAGAAAGTGGCAAGATCTAAAGAACACAAAGAAAAGGAAGATCTAAAGAACACAAAGAACACTAAAAAAAAAGATTCTGACTAATTTTATGAATAATATTGGACTTGTTAATTTCCTGTGGTTCTGGATCAAGCAACAATGTCAATACTTCAAGGCGTGCTTTTGCACCATATGAACAAACAGCTGAAATTCTGGCTACTGATCAAAACCTTATATTCAGATTTTATATTATACTGGTAAGACTCTTCAGGATATGAAATATACTGCTTAAAATTCAACAATTATTGTATTGACACTCTTAGATGATGTGTCTCTTTATCCATGGCATTACATGGTTCAATCTGTGAACAATGAAGAATGTTTAAAAATTTTCTAAACTTGAAAGATTGATGTGAGATAAAAATTAGCTGATAATTTTTAAGATGTGAGATAAAAATTCAAATTCTCTAGTGCATCAAGAAAAAACTCCTCTTATATGTTCACATTACTCATAATAGCTTGGCAGCTTTAGAATAAGCATAAGAATAGCATTGTAATATTTTTCCCACACACTGTTATGTAATGTGTCCAACCACTTGATATTTTTAAGGTCTTATTGGGTTTTTTGAACTATTACAGATTTATTATGATCAAGAGGTTCAAACATGGCTAAGGCAAGTAGAGTTGTGACACATTTTCAGGTTCATAGTTAAACAAAGCATATTTAAAAAGCGGAACTTCAGCAAGTTGAGAAAGTTAAGAGCATTGACAAAACACAAGAACTTGAGAAATCAAAACATTTTGAAATAATCTCTCCTAAATCAGATGTATCTATTTGTGTTATTTAATGTTGAAACTTTAATTTAAGAAACTTTAAAAGTGTCAAAGCAAGGACTAAAATTTAGTATACAAAAGTTGCTTCACTTGCTTTTAGCAACTCCTAAAGCTGAATTTAAAAGAAGCAGAAACCAGGGAAAAACATACAGTTTTTCTCTTGTTTCAGAATAATACTCTGAATATACAAGAATTAAAATAGAAAATGATAAAGAAAATGATAAGGAAAAAGAAAAACGTATGATTTAGTTAAAATTTAAAGAAAATTTTAAGAAAAACTAAAAGAAAATGTTACTTGAAAAAAAGATTGCAGTGAAGAAAATAAAACAAACAATGATGAAATTGATTTTGTATCTGATACAGCATATTTGTTTTGTAAAGAACTTTTTTTCACATTTTATTCACAAACTTACATAGATAAAGAACTTTATTCACAACCTTTCTCTAAATTCACAAATTTACATAGATAAAGAACTTTATTCGCAACCTTACTCTAAATTCACAACCTTACATAGATAAAGAACTTTATTCACAACCTCACTCTAAATTCACAACCTTACATAGATAAAGAACTTTATTCAAAACCTTACTCTAAATTCACAACCTTACATAGATAAAGAACTTTATTCGCAACCTTACTCTAAAAAACCTTGGATTTACTGCCAAAAATGCAACTCTTAGCATCATTATTAATGTGCAGGCATAGATAAAAAAACAATATTTATTTAAATTAATATTTAACTTCTATGACTTCAAAATCTTCTTTAGGTTTAGTGAGATTGTGTATTATTTTTCCACTATACTGTGCTTATTTATAAATATTTTCCCCATATTTGATTCTCCCATAAAATACTCCACTCCCCCACTAAACTGCTCTTGACAAGATTTATATACTCCAAGAGATATCCATAGGGGAATCCCTTTGTATTTGAAAACTATTTTTCATTTAAATTACTTCCATCTCTTTAACTATTTGAAAATGTTCTCAAATATCACTTGCACTTGCTTCTAATTGTCACCATTACAAAAATATGAATGAAAGATGAATAAATGATTCATGTCTTTTAAAATGAATGCGTTTGAGCATACCATTAATATAAATGGTAGAAAATAAAAAATAAAAAAAAAGCTTACCTTTAATTACTTTAAATAGTTTTAACTAAGGTCCATAAATTACGCAAAGCTAAATTTCACTAATAAATGAAACAAAAAAAAAATTAAACATTTTCTCTTACAGAGTCTTAAGTTAAATGAAAAATTATAATAGATGATAACTTTAATGAAAATCACAGCGTAAATAAGCTAAAGATCTTTTATTTTTGGTTTTTAAATAAATTTAGCGTTGCATAATTTATGGACAATCCCTAAGTAGCCTTGTGTAAGTATTGCAAGTGGACAACATTCAGGTATAATGATGGCAACAGTTCATATGTTGAAAATCTTGCAGGAATATAACTAAAATTTACAATAGGCTTGCAATTATGATAAAGATAAAATTCTATCTGAAAAGATTGCAAGAATAATAATTTTAAACTTTGTATTACATTAGGGTTGCAATTATAATTGCAGTAAAACTGTATGATAATGTATGATGTATGAAAATGGTAAAAATACTGTTAAACTTGTATTGAAATTGCAATGTTTGAAACCAGATAACAAAGTAACAAATGTAAAACCTCACAAATCTTAATTAAATCTTAAAATTAAAAAATCTCAAAATTAAAAATTCTCAAAATTAAAAATTTGTTGAAGATCAGAAATATCAAAAATTTTTATAAAAAAATAAAAAAGCAGTGTAGTATGAAATGCAAATGTACACTGATATGTATCGTAGTAATTTAACACTGATGCACAATTACAATCATACAAAACTATGGTAACAATGTTCATTGCAACCAAGGTAATCTAGCATGCTTATTATTATATTTAACAAATAAATTTGAATGTTTTTATTCACTTTTTTATCAGAATTAATAATTAACTTAAAAATGTAAACTTTGTCACACATATAAAAAACTATGTAAAAAAATTCTGCACAGTAAATATTAAATATAAATATTATATGACTTCAGTAAAACTAAATAGATTGTTTTTACTATTCTTACTACTTATTTATTGTTATTATTATTATAGTATATTAGTTTTATGTATTTTCTAGTCTTGTTAGGGGGCATCCATAAAGTGTAAAATGTAAGCAGTAAAACTCCTACCTCCTTGTATGCATCTATATGCTTTTAACAACCCCTTCCCCTCTCACCTGCGTACGCATTTTTTTTTACAAAATCAACCCCCTTCCCTATCACATAATTTTTCAAAGCAAAGCAAAAAAATTTTTAGTTAACTTGACATTTCTCTATTACATAACATAAAACTGATGTTTTAAACTTGTGAAATTCAATGCTAAAACTTGTTTTTGAGTAACCCCCTTTCCCTACCTGTTTGTGTACTTTATGAAAAACCCTTTATAAAAAATTAGTATTCTATGAATTTTTATTACAAAATAAATTAATAAATAACAATTTTATATTATGTAGTTAACCAATATAAATAACATACCTCTTGATCAACTTGAATTTGCATTAATGGTAAAAGTTTCTCTGAATAAATAGGAATATCTAAAACAAAGTTTGATGGAGAATTCAACCATTTTAAAACTTTAAATAATGCTGCACAATTTTGCGACAAAAGTTGTTCAACATTGTTATGCACTAATAGAGTAGACTATTTTAACTTTTTAATTTTTGTTACAATACAATAAAGGTTAATTTTTCTTGTTTTAATAGAAAAGCAACTTTTATTTTATGTTAACGATTTTATTACTTACATTTTATTATTTTAATTAAAAATTATTATTCAGAATATTTAATAAATAGAATAACGCATATTCAGAATATTTGTAACAAATTCTTAAAAAAAAAAACTTATTTGTTATGCATTTAAACTTATTTGTTATAAATTTAACTTATTTGTTATACATTTATCTTATTATAAAAAAACTGTAACAATACAATATAAATTAAGTTTGTTAACTTATTTTCAATTGCTCTAAAGTAGTCTGAATAAACAAGTTGTACCCCTGAGTAAACATCTTGTACCCCTGAATAAACATGCTGTACCCCTAAATAAACTTGCTGTAACCCTGAATAAACATGATGTACCCTAAATAAATACACTGTACCCCTGAATGAACATGCTGTACTCCTGAACAAATTTGCTGCATTCTCTCAATTAGAGTCTTACACCAAAGTAAATTTAAATTTTTAAATTTTTTATTTTGGCTTAAGTAACATGTATTTAACATGGAACTTTTTTTGAATTAATATCATCTAATAACATTTTTACTTTATATTTAATAAATAAAACTTGTCAACTCTCTAGAGCTTTGGTAACCTGAACAATACAAACATTTTTGTCTATGATTTAAAATAACTTTTAGATGTTTAAAAAAATAACTTTTAGAAAAATGTTTAAAAAAAGAGGAATAAAAGGAAGTTTTAGAATTTGTTAAAACCAATTTGGTTGTTTTTCATTATTTTCAAAATTTTAATATATTCCTAATACTTTATTATTTTTTTAAATAAATTAAGTTATCCAAGAGAATTATTTTACCCATCAAAGATTGACATTGAAAGGGAAAACTTAATTAATTATTTAAAGTTTTAAGGTAAGCCAGATGTTGTTTTGGAGAAGAAAAAAAAAAAGATGTTGATGTGACATTTCTTATTAGTAACTAGATAAAAATACATTTTTAGTAAGTTTCTATGGGATTAATAAATTCAGTTTATCTCTTTTAAGTAATGCTTTATAACAAGGCCTGATGTGTACTAAAAATGTAAAAAAAAAGATAATGATGCCCACACTTTAAGTGTAAGTGTGAGCATGTGTGAGTGTGTAAACGAGTGTGTGTATGTGTGTGAGCGAGTGTATGACGTGTGTGTGTGAGCGAGTTTGTGAGCAAGTGTATGCATATTATTGATGGTGACTTTAATCTAGTTGTTCTAGCATTACAATTAGTTCTACAAATAGATGCAATGCACGTTGCAACAACTAGTTTTTTTAATTTAGTAACATATAAAATAAGGAATTGAAGGCCAGTATATATATATATATATATATATATATATATATATATATATATATATATATATATATATATATATATATATATATATATATATATATATATATATATATATATATATATATATATATATATATATATATATATATATATATATATATATATATATATATATATATATATATATATATATATATATATATATATATATATATATATATAAGTACTTTTTTATTCCAGCAAACGGAACCACAAAAAATATTTAGAAGGTGTAAAAAAAAAATAAGAGTTAATAAAGTTTTGTTTACCTTTAAGAGAAGGATGATTAACTACATTCTGAAGCTTTTTAAGTTCTTCCAGATTCTTTGATAAATTACGAATATTTTCTTCATCTAAATTAAAAATGGAAAGGCTAATGAACATTTTCTTTATATCAATAATGTAATGAGTTGATTTTTTTTTTTATTACTTGTGCTTAACCAGGAGTCGAAGCAAGTGCCATCGACATTCCCCAACCTGTTTTTGAGACCTGTCTGAGGAGGGGCATGGTCAACCAACCATTATTTATTTTTTCTGACAAAATGAAAAAAATAATTGAATGATCTATTCTACCGGGTCAAGCACCTAATTTGACCCAGTACCATATATGTTACATTTAAATAAAACAATCTTCTCTAAGGCTCAATAAGCTCTCCTCTAATTGTTTTACTAAAAATATAAGAAAATTTGAAGCGTTTTGCAAGGATTTTGCAACTTAAATATGATAAGTGAAATGAACATATTTACAATTTTTGCATTTTTTTCACTTACAATGTTTTTATTTTTTAATTAAAAGTCAAACAAACCTTATTTGTTTGCTTTTTTTGTTTGTTTTGATTTTGATTTATAATTTATCAAACTTTAATGAAAATAATACTTGCAACTAAATTAAAAAATAGTTATAGCTAAATTAATGAAACTTATTTAATGTATAAATTTTTTTTAATATAATATTTACCATGTTTGTCTACTAAATTAATATTGTTAAAAAAAACATAGTTAAACTAGAACTGTTGACATCCTTTAATCAAATTTTAATGTTAAAAATGCTTTAAACAATAGTAGTTAAAAATCAATACTTGAAAATAAAATATACAATAAAATATTTACAATAAAATATATGACAATAAAATATTTACAACCTAACACAGTAACGTCTCTTTTTAAATTAAAATTCTCTTAAACAAAATAGTTTTAGCTGAAAAAAGAAATACAGACATACATTAAAAAAAATACATACATACATAAAATAATACATACATAAAGTTCATAAAATGCATAAAAGCTTATATGAAGATCAGATATTACATAATGTAATGATCCGTGTAATGATGCACAACATAATGATTTATATAATGATAGACACACAAATGATCTGTGTAATTATAGATTCAATAATTATCTGTGTAATGATGGACAAATTAATGATCTGTGCACTGAATGCAAAAATTATCAGTGTAATAATATGTGTAATAATGCACAAAGTAAAGATTTCAGTATAATCTTTATAAACTCATATACTGTATACATATAAGTGGTTACATTAGGTAAGAAAGAAACAACATAAGTAGTTTTCAAAAATTTTACTATCTGTTATTTTAAATATACTAACTGCAATATTAAAATTAATATAAATATTAACATTATTATACAATATTATTAAAATGAAAATATTAAAATGTTACAAAAAAAAAAACTTTTTTGTACTTGCAAGAATTAAACTTGTTTTCACTTCATCAGTAAGTTTTATCTTCTGGATAAATTCTGTATCTAAAAAGTCTTGCAGTTGTGGCACTAAAAACGATAAAAAATAACGAATAATGTGCTATAATGTTTTATCATTAAAAATGTTTTTCAAACACAAACCTTAAAAACAGTGCGTTTTTTACGCTTACAATAAATCCAGTCCTATTAAATAAGTCTTGCTTAAAAATGCTTAAAAAATGCTAAAAAGGCCCCTGCTAACAAAAACTACTTTTTTATAGTACCCTTCCCAGTATTCCTACATTAAAAATGGAATGTTGAAATACTGTGTAACACTAGAAAATTAACTACCTTGCATCATATAATTATTTTTTTTCTTATTCGGAATTTTTGATAAAAAAGTTAGGTGAACAAAAAAAACTTTGTTTTTCTTAACTTATTACATTTGTAAATAACATCAAATGTATTTGTTATTCAAACTTTTTTTATGTAACCGTCATTCAAACTTCATAAGTGGTTTTTATAACATTAATTTCTTTTATCTTACCACTTAAACAATATCTTTAGGCTTTTTAAATATTAAAAAAATATAAAAAGTGGCTTGAGTGAAATGGCTTTATTCGCACATAAATGGCACATCATTTTACATTTTAAAACAAGGCCTGTATATATATATATATATATATATATATATATATATATATATATATATATATATATATATATATATATATATATATATATATATATATATATATATATATATATATATATATATATATATATATAAAATAAAAAAAATTGATACAAAAGAGTTACATAGAAATGAGGTCGGCAATTTTTTGCCGACCTTAAACACTTCAAAGTTGGCAGTTAGGTCAGCATTGCCGAATAATTCCGACATAATTCTGAGAATTGTACATATATATATATATATATATATATATATATATATATATATATATATATATATATATATATATATATATATATATGTATATGTATATATATATATATATATGTATATATATATATATATGTATATATATATACGTATATGTATATATATGTATATATATACATGTGTATATATATACATGTGTATATATATATATATATATATATATATATATATATATATATATATATATATATATATATATATATATATATATATATATATATAATAGGGTGTCCCTTGAATGAGTGAACTTGTTTTGTTTTTTGAATATCAAAATGCATAACCCCTTTTTCTTTTTAAACTATCTAAACTTACCTAGACTTAAATACAAAACTTTATCTTCATACAACAACATCAATGCATGCTGACTGAACTCTGAAGATTTTAAAAAGTGTATTTATGAAGCTAAATCAATTGAAACAATTATATTTTATAAAATATTTGTTCAAAGAATATAAAACTACAGATTATTTAAGGCAGGATATTTTTCAAAAAGTAATCAAACCATGAAAATCTTGAACAAGTTTTATTTTTGCTAAGTTTTATATTGCTCTTTCAGCTGAATCATTAAATGCTCTTGAGGAAAGAATTTTTCTATATATAGCCTATATATGGGATAAAGATTCTATATAAGGAATAAAGATGCTGCCTATATATAGGCAGCATCTTCATCCCATGTTGAAACATGAAATTTGTGCTCACACAAAATCACTTAATAATTTTCCTGCAACAAATAATACGGCAGTATTATTATTAGTTTAATGAAAACAGTATAAAAATTATTATCTGTATTCCTACTTACCATACAAATAATCAGACATCATTTGTCAGCAAAATGTATCTCTTCCCAGATTAAAGCAAACTCTCTCTTTGTAAGTTCACTACAATGTTACCCTTGGTTTGTTCATTAATTTCATCATCAACGAGTGATAAAACTGCAATTTCTTCTGACAAGTACCAAAAATTTTGACAAAACTTGTTTAGGACTACTTTAGAGATTGATTTGTCAACAGTTTCAAATTCCTTAAACCTATTTAAAAAGAACAAATCTTGATATGATGCCTTCATTACTAGACTACATCCAGATCATATATAACTGCAATGAACAAACAAATGTCTTGAAGTGCTCATTTATCTTTGGCGCTATTTTTGATCTGGGATTGCAAAAAACATATTTTTAACGAGTAAATAGCTCTAGCCATTCACCTTGCTTAAATGCATTGCTCCAGGTGTTATTTTAATTTTTTTTCTCATTATCACCTCCTAAGAAAATAACAGATATTTCAACGAGTTTATGATAATCATCACATAAAATAGTTTTTTACAGTTTTCAATTATAAAATGTCAACAGTTCTTTAATTGCTGTATTACTAAAATTTTGTTTGACAATATCGGTGTATGTTTCAATTGCAACCAGAATAATAGTTTTCCAGTTGTCTCAGGCATATTATTCTTAAAATCTGATTTTACAGGTTCCGCTGTCTTTTCTACTTTGTATGCGAATGCATTGAATGAATAATTTACTTATCGAGAAATAATCACAGCTAACTGACATCTATCTAAAGCTGCAACTAATTTAGATGTGATAAAGTTCTTCCTTCCTCCTTTTGTAGTAGTTTCAAAACTTACTATTTGAGAGGCTGATGGTAAGGGTTCCTCAAGGCTTCATTGGATTCTTCAAGGTTATCTGTGCTGGTGTGTTAATAGTAAGAGACAACAATAAACTCCAGAAACACATTTGCTCATGTCTTTTTTTTTCTTCTTTTAGTTTTTTCTGTCATGCTCTTTCTTTTATTTTTTGTCTACACTCGCTAAACATTCACTTTGTTTTTGCGAAAATGTTTTATCTTCTATTTTTATTTGTTCCAGAGCATCAGCATGTGCTATATTGAATAAATTGTTTTAAAAGAAAAATCTAAATTGTTTTGAAAGTCCTCCTCAAGTACCTTGTTTTTTTAACATCTTGTTTTTTTTTGGAATTTTTTTGCACCTCCCTCAGTGTTTTCGCAGGAAGACGTGTGATCGCACATCTTTATATTACCATGTATGTACAGTTTTTGTTTTGCTGACTTTTTGACAATTTTTGCGCATTTTAAAAATGGTGCTTAAAATCGAAAGTAAACTAAATAAAAATGAAAGCAAATACCATAAAAAAAAAAAAAAAAAAAAAATCTTATTCTGTGAGAAATAACCAAAAGTAAAAAAGCTATAAACCAAATTTTTATCTTTTAAATTTAAAAGCGCTAATAGACTTGCATAAAGATAAAAGTTTCTAAATTATTTATTTCAAACTGATTTATAAACAAAAAATTTACTAATTTTGTTGCAGTAAGTTATTGCAAGAATGAATAGGCTGGTGTGGGGTTTATAGCACACCATTTTATGTAAAAATTTAACGCTGTTTGATATAAACCCTTTACTAAAATTTAATATTTATCTTTCTTTTCCTTTTTTTTTACTGTTTTTGTTTTCTTATTTTCAGGATGCCTGTTATTTCCATCAAAGAAATTTGATACAAGTGAGGGAACAAGGCAGATTATATGTTCAAAAAATTTAAATGAAAGTAAAACATCAAGCAATCTATTTGAGAATTATATACGCCAATATAAAGAAAAACCATATTTTTATTCAATTCAAAGTTGTAATATCTAAGGTGTTAAATAACTTAATTTATATTTTTAAAATATGAAAAAATATAAATTTTTATAAAATGTGAGTAAATGAAATATAGGTTTAAAAATAATATTATACATACAAAAATAATATTATACGGGGCCTCCAAATATTCAGAACCACGCTTGCATGGTACTATGCTTCATTCAAAGTCTTTTACCTGAAAGAATAATGGTCAATGTGCTGAAACGTTTTTCAACTGCAGGGCAGACAAAAACAGGAACCAGGGGGCACATGGTCCCTTACTTTTTTTTAGTTGACAACTTTTTTCTTTTTTAAAAATTGACAATTTTTTTGAATTAAGGGAGTGTGCTTCCCCAATCATCGCGAAGATCTACAAGTATTTTTACACAGGTATAGCTCAGGTAAAGATTCTAACTTTTTCCCAAAATATAATACACTCTTGAAAGATTTGTGCTTTCGAATGTTAAAAAAAAAATACTGCAACAACTTGAGCTAACTTTGTGCCTGTTGTTTGATAATTTATGTCATCAACTAAGAAAATATTTTTTTATTGCTTCTTAATTCAGCTGCCATTTCTGAAGTTCAAAAAAATTCTTTAATGTAAAACATTAAGTGTAAATCAAGAGAATAAATGAATCAGGGTTTTCTAAAAGTGCGAATTTGCTTAAAGCGATTTTTTTAATGTCTCAAAATTGATAATAATTATCTATTTACTATTATCAATTATTATCAAATATAATTTTATTTATTTACTATTATCAATTTTTATCAAATTATCAAGATAATAATTATCTATTTTCAATTATTAATTTTGAGTAATTGTAAAAACTACTTTGAGCATATCTGCCTTTTATTATAAATAATATATTATCTCAGTATTATAAAAAAAAGATTTTTACTATAGTATATCATGTTGAATCTTAAAAAGAGCAAAACTATATAAAAATTAAAAGAAAATTTATTATTTTATAAAAAAACATAGACAAAAAAATTATAACAGGGCTTGAATTAAGTGTATCGCGATCGCGAATGCTTTTTACACCTTCGCGATTAGTTTTTTTCAATAGTAAATATTTTCGTGATTTGTTTTTTACTTTATTTTGATCGTTTATTTATTTTCTTTTTAAGTTTGCAATAGTTTGCTTCTAACTAAAAATTATTTTAACACAAATTGTCAAATAGATTATGAAAAACGCAATACATTTTTTTACATTTTCATTTTATTTAAAGCGATATCAAGATTAAACTATAAATACTATTGTTCTATAAATACGCAAGTTGTTTTTAGGAATTTTAATTTAAAAAGAAATCTATTTAATCAAAATAATTTTAGTATTTTAAAATTCTTTTATTCAAATAACTTCGCTATTAAAATTTGAAATTGAAAAAAAAGTGAGAAAGAAAGTTTTTTTTTCGTAAATAGTAAATTTCGTAAACATTCTGAATAGTTAATTATATTTTGTTTCTTGAAAATAGTTTTAAAAGTTGAAACATTCTATTGCAAACAATAAACCAGTGATTAGAAAAATTAAAATGAAAATTAAATTGTAAAAAATTAAAACTGATAAATAACTTTACTTGTGTTCAAAGAAATTTTTTTCTGAAAAAATAATTTACGCATATTCTTAAACTTAAAGAAATATAATTCGATTTTTGTTTCACTTTTTATTGGAAAACAATTTGAAGAAAAAAATTGAATGAAAACATCAATTTAAAAACCATTTAAACGAAAAACTTAATTATACTTAAAATTTTAATTGTACGCTTGATCAAGAAACCAACTATAAAAAACATGGTATCTAATATTTTTTTGCTTTGATCTTACTCGTTTGCTTTGATCTTACTCGTAACCCCAGTAATACATCCATTGGAAACACATTTTACATTTTTTGTTTCTAGGTGTTTATGTATTTTTCTAATTTTGTTTTCTTAACCCTTCGGAAGATGTTACCAACACCAAGACAATTCTGATCCCCCCCCCCCACAAGAAAACAAAATTTTTTTAAAAACTTATCAATATTTTTAGCATTATTATTTTATTATCATCAGTAGTATAGCTATTATTGGTATTATTGTTTTTATTATAATCATTATTATAAGGGCATTATAAGTATTATAAAACAAGTATTTTCCTGACAATACATTCAGGCCCATCTTTACACATGTCCATCCTAAGCAGCCGCTGCGGGGCCATGGCATTTAGAGAGGCAAGCTGGAAAGGAATCAATTTATTTTCGATTTAACTTTACAAACTTCACTTTTAAACTTTAAACGGAAAAAACATCAGCTAGGTACAGCTGTTTTAATCCGAAGCGCAAATACGAAAAGATTCAACAAAGTATATAGAATGATTCAAGCAGTTGAAGTTGTTTTAAAGTGGAATGAGCTGTATAGATCTCTTTCTTTTTTCGTTCGAAAAGGTTTAATCAACTTTTGTCAAATTTAAAAAGAACTTATGCTAATATGACGAATTAAAGTCTACTGAGGCATCAGACTTCACTGGGGAAAGAAAAAAACATTGTTAAGGTTAATTTAATCAACCGACTTTTATTTGAGCTTGAAAGGCTTTATTAATCAGAAAAACAGATTTAATTTGGGAAGAAGAGGAGGGGAAAATCCAGAAGAGTTAAAAAAATCTAGAGAGTTTGTAGAGGCCACAACTATTATTTCGCTATGGGGCTAGGATAAACTAAAGACGACCCTTTAGTTCAACCCGAAAAAAACTTAACAATTATTGTAATAATTGTTAAGTTTTTTTACACGTTTTAGATTCTCTAGATTTTTTTGCGTTAATTCGAGCCCTGATATATATATATATATATATATAATATATATATATATATATATATATATATATATATATATATATATATATATATATATATATATATATATATATATATGTATATATCTTATACTGCTGAGTTAGGTGAGCATGATGATGTCATATTCACCTAACATCAAATAGCCTGCTGCTGGGGGCTTCAGTACATACATCGACTGACAAATAGTCAGACTCGCAGTGGAGTGCTGATACATCGACTGAGGGTTTGGTATGGGTCAGCAACATTTTCATTCATTATTCTTTGTTTTCCATCATCGTTTTCTAAAAACGCTCACTTAATTTAGGCTAGCAAAAAAAGTAAGCAATTGCGCATATAAATATGCTATAGTAGATAAAATAGTAACAATAGTTGTAAAATAAAAACAAAACTTAACTAATATAAATAATTAACAATAAGATAATTATGTTTGAAATAAATAACTTCGAATCTTTACTAATGTTTTTATAATGTAAAACTAGTAGGGTCCCGACTGCTTTGTTACTGCACCATATAAAATTATATTAATATTAAAAAAAAAAAAATAGTACTAATGGACAAAAAAATGTAAATAAACACTTTTGTTTTTATAAAAAACTTCATTGCTCAATAGTGATATTTTTTAAAAAACTTAACAAGGAAACATTTTTTAATTACGCTTTTTTTTTGTTGTTGAGGTGGGGTGGGGGGGTGGGGGGTGAGGGGGGGGTTGAAGAGGATGCGTTTCACAAAAATGACGACTGACTTACGAACAAAAAAAACATGTTTTTTCTTTATTATATAGACATAGTGAAACCCTTTTAAACAAAGTATAAACTTTCAACGATTTTTTACACACATTTAAAAGATAACAACAACAAAAAAACTTTACAATTCTTTGTAGTAATGTAAACAAAAGAAAAATAATTAAACCTTTTCTTTTGTCAGAAATCCAATATTAGAAAGCAAATGAGGAAAAGTGAAGATGAAAACAAAAAATAATGAACAAAACTATTCCTTTAATTGATAATTTGATTTAATTTGTTAATAATTCAATTTTTTTTATCTAAAGACTAAAGAAAAAAAAATCATAAAAATTATAAAAATAAAATTATATTTATATATTTTTTTCAACTTGCAATCTTGCAAAAAAAATTTGTTATATTTCGACTATATTAACTTTTATTGATAATTTTTTAATTTAAAGACGAAAGAAAAATACATTAATATCTTTTAATTAATTAGCAGTAAATTGTTACTTTATTTAAAAGCGTTTTAATAATATAAAAACATTAGTTAAGATCAAAGTTTAATTCAAACGGCTGTCTTAAATTCTAAAGTTTGTCTTTTTTTCTTCTCAACAAATTTATACAACTTTCATTTTTAAAGTATAGATAAAACTTTCATCTATGCTTTAAAGTAAAACGTTAACAGTAAATGTTACTTTATTTAAAAGCATTTCGCTAATATAAAAACATTAGTAAAGATAAAAGTTTCAAAGTTATTCATTTTTGACGTAATTAAAAATAATATTTTTCAGCGCATTTTTAAAATGTTAAAGACCGTGTTCAAACCGTCAAAATAAAGTATTATTTGCATGCTCATATAATGGCGTGCGATTGCACGCCTTCCTGACCAAGTCTGCATATATATATATATATATATATATATATATATATATATATATATATATATATATATATATATATATATATATATATATATATATATATATTTTTTAATAAAGGTTGATATAAATTTTTACAAATCATTTCAATAAAACATACATTTTTTCCAGAGTAGTGTTACTACTAGATGCCGAGTTTCAACTTCCTTTAAAGTGCATTTTGCTTGTTCAACAACTTCAAATATCTACAAGAAAAATCTATAACTTTCATATAAGCAACTTATATATCAGGGGCTATTCTAGACC